CTAGTTTCTTCCCCAAAGAACAACAAAGAAGGCTAGAGCCATGCTATGTGACACCAGGAATAGCACCACTGGGTTAGGAGGGAAGTTTTGCTTTCACCAGTAACACAATGCCCCAACGTGAAAGACTCGCAAAGGGGAAGAGGAGCACTGAAGAATGCATCAGTGACTGGACTTCAGCTTAAGTGTTACTGATCAAAGACTGTAATTAATTAGAAAGGCAAAAGCTATCACTGAAATGAGTAAGTCTGGGGAGAAAGAAAAAAACATGGGGTTCTTTGCCTCGCTAGGGAAAAACAGCTATTTTTTGTAGTAGAGCTGCAATTCGTTCAGAACTGGAAAACACTTTAATTTCAAGAGGAAGAAACCTTCAACTACTTTGGAGACTTGTAATTGTAAACTCAGCTTTTGCTGCCAGAGTTGAACAGCTTAATTTGCAAGTCAATCCCTGATTTACACTATTTGTAACATCTTTTAAACAGAAAAGCACAGGCTTTTGGTTGATGTTTGAAAAGCATCAAGTCTCTTTAGAGACGTTTTTGAGAGCAAAGGAAAGGAACTGTAATGTCGCAAAATGAAGACAGGCCAAAGAAGAGTCCGGCAGAATTGCCTCAATGTATTTAACTGACACAAAGTAAAAGGAATGTTTCATGAGATGCAAGCCAAGCCAACCTTATTCATGAAATCGTAGGTATATTCTTCTTGTTCTCTGTATCAACAACCCCGAGATTGTTACTCTTTACTATTCAAAAAAGAGTCACATGCATAAGCAGAGAATAGCATTATAATCTTTGGTACTCTAAAAACCATCTTTAAGTTTCCTGTATGCCAAAGCCGATGGTAATCATCAGGACCCCAGATACACCCTTGAAGAACATTTAAGAAAAACATAGGAGTACAGCAAGATATTAACCGAGCCTCAGCCTTCTGCTCTATCCCACTTTGGAGCATATGCCCCAGTATAACTGTATTCCTAAAACCTGAGAATATGTTCGCATGCACATATTTTATGACAGAGGTAGTCACAAGAATAACTAAACAACAAGCAGTCCCACTCCACCAGAACCTATTTCACAACCCAGAAACTGTCTTGAACTCACCTTTTCAGGTTCTAACAACTGTTTGCACAGAAGCCAATGTCAGCCTTCAGCTCCACGACTTTGCAAAAACAAAGCATGGTCATTATCATCACACAAGTGGATTTTTTCCAGCAACAGTAATTCTTTACCACACAGGAAAAAAGCAGCATCACATTTTTATATAACCAAGGACAAGAATTTTGCATATCAGAGTTTGTGAGAGGGATGATTTTTGTAGCAAGACGGAAGCTAAGAAGTAGATCAAAGTCCAAAGACTTCAGTTTGCAGTCTCACAGAAGCACTATATGAGGAAAGCAGGTCTTGTGCTGCAGTGTAGCAAAGTGATTCTCATTTTACAAATATGATTAAGCAGTAATGGACAACTACGTGGCAATTCGCATAGGAGGCAACTTAATAACATGATCGTGAACCCCATTTTTAGAGTTTGTCCACACCAAGATGTTGAGTATCTTGAATATCATTCAAGACAGTGACATGCTTCAGGTTGACAAGCAAACACAAGAAAAAAAAAGTTCCACCAGCCAAATTTCTACAGTACAAATTACCTCTGAACAAAAAAGAAGCCAAATTAGAGGTTACAGATGCTTTTTGCTGCCTTTTTCCACTCAGAAGACTGCATCAGGAAAGGAGGCCCTGCAACGTGAGAACAATATATAGACTACCAAAGACATTAAACAGTCTTCACACATACTGATTGCTCTGTGCTTGTAGCTGCCACTGAAATTTATCTGTAAACTCTATGAATAAGCGATGTGATCTTTTACATGACAGTCGTAAGACTACCTTAACTTCCTCTTGCATGTTTGGCAATTATACCTTTCCCACCTCATTCTGCTAAGACTTTATTCCTTCTTTATATTTAAACAAACACAGATCTGCACATCAAAGCTACCTCTGGAACTTATTTGTCCTTAAAGCATGCCAAGGCTGAACTCCAAACACACTTCTCCAGTGGTCAAAGACAGACCAAAGAAAGAACCACATTTATACAGATTCTGTTCCAAGCACTGTATTTCAACAATACGTGCCACTGCTACTTGCTATGAGAATTCATACATGTTGAATCAGAGGGATGCTATCCATATTGTTATTTGTATATCCCAATTTTGATCTAGTTAGATGGTTAGCACAGAAGGAAACATCTTTACTCGTAAGAGATTACAAGAGTTAATAAGAAAGAAATCCAATACACAACCTTTGATTATTCAAACACTCAAGCAAGAAAACAAATGTGCATAGCCGAAGATCTCATTACAGTTACTTTAACCAACCTTAACCTAAGAAGAAACAGCCAAATGTAATGTTATCCTTATCCATTTATATTTAAGAAAATGTCCATCTTAATTTATAAGCCAATTAAAAGAAAATGCAAATCTTGTTATTTTTACAGCTATTACTGCTATGCGTGCTAGTAACCATTTTAACATAGATATCTGCAGTATCGTATATTGGTTTCCCTCCTGAATTCTTCCATTGTGCTACTGTCCTGGTTTCAGTTAGAACAGAGTTAATTTTCCTCCTAGTAGCTGGTAGGCTGCTACGTTTTGGATTAGGATGAGAAGAGTGCTGATAACACCACGATGTTTTAATTGTTGCAGAGCAGTGCTTACACCAAGCCAAGGATGTTTCAGCTTCTCACTCTGTCCTGCCAGTGGGCAGGCTGGGGGTGCAGCAAGAGCTGGGAGGGGACAGACCCAGCACAGCTGACCCAAACTGGCCAAAAGGGTATTCCATACCATCTGGGGTCATGCTGAACAATACATAGGGGTGGCTAGCTGGGGTGGGAGAGCCAGCTGCTCAGGGATAGGCTGGGCATCAGTCAATGGGTGGTGAGCAATTGCATTGTGCATCACTTGTTTCGTACACATTATTATTCTTAGTACTATTATCATCATTATTGTTATCATCACTATTGTTATTATTATTTTCCTGTCTTAATAAACTGTCTTTATCTCAACTCACGGGCTTCACTTTCCCATTTCTCTCCCCCATCCCAGAGAAGGAGGGTGGAGGGTGAGCGAACGGCTGTGTGGTGTTAAGCTGCCAGCCGGGTTAAACCACCACAACTACTCAAGACAGAATGCATTATCAGCATATCAGATCCACTGGAATGGTAAAAAGCAGCCAGCCAGCCAATTATTGAAGAACTTATTAAAAAGACTTACTGTCATCATATACAATAAAAGTATATGCTATCTAACAGGATTTTGTGTGTGCATGTGTGTGTGTGTTTTGACTGTGTTCTTTGAGACAAGCATTTGAAATATATGTGCTAGTCTCGTTAGTCACTTAAGTTTGGTTATAGTGGCCCTCAGAAAAAGTTCAAATTGTCATTTTCCAAACACATATGAGGTAATTTGCATTCCATCATTATTTTTCCCCCTAAAGCACAGAGAATGTTTACTCCCTTGACTTCTGACATGCTACATTTAAAAGAGTGATGCAGAAACTTTCACTAACCTTGAATTTGGTAAACACAAGAAGAGAGCTATCAGAGGTAATTAAAAGCAAATAGCTTTCTTTTTAGCAACATCTGCAGGCTCAAATTTAGCTTGGTGAGCTGTAAGTCACAATAAGCCCAGAAAATACTACAAATACAGGGGAATACTAGTCCCTCAGAAGTCACGCTGATGCAGCTGAGAGGCGGTCAAATCGAACACGCTGTTTGTTTACAAGCTAAGCCCTGGTGTGGCAGGGCTAAAAGCTTAGCCACGGGCGTTAAGTTTGGAGCCAGCACAAGGGCCCGCGTCGGGATACACTTGACCATAGCGGCAGCAGAGCAGCAGATCCCTGCAGCCCAGGCATTTAAGATCGGAGCCGCCCTGGGCTGGCAGGGCCCTCGAAGATCGCCTCGTGCCAACACCTGGTGTGTGCTCGCGTACTTCTGTCCGTGTTTTGAACCCCTTCTGCGGCAGACGCATCACTGACACGTGAAGCGGTGCTTGAACCTTTCGGAAGGTGACGCTTGGCGCTGACAGGCGCCTGGCTGAGGCTGCGAGCTGCGGACAGCCCCGCGGGCAGCCTGCCCCCGCTGCCCCCGCTGCCCCCGGCCGGCGCTGAGGCAGCGCCAAGCCCCGGGGGCCCCGCCATTACGCGGTGCCCTCCTGCCAGCCATGGCGCCGCCCGCCTCCATGTCGGCGCAGGGCACCGGGCAGCCCCCACGCCGCTGCCCTGCCCTCCTTACAGCCCGGCCCCGCGCACAGAGCCGGGGGGTGCCCGGGGAAGGGGAAAAAAAAAAAAAAGGGGAAAAGGGAGGGCGGGAGGTGCCCGCGGGGCGCTCACCTGCGCCGCCGGCCACCTGCGCCCTCCCCGCGGCGCCACCGCCCCGCCGGGGCGAGGGCCGGGCATGGTCCCGAGGGACGGGCGGCCGGACGAGGGGGAGCAGCACAGAACTGGGGATAAGAGCGAGGGTTTTAACAGGAGAAAAAATAATAATAATAAAAAATAATAATAAAAATAAATTAAAAATAAAAAAAAAAGAGCCGAGAACACGCCCCCGCCCTCCCCACCCTGCGCGGCGCAGAAGCGCTGCCGGGGCAGGAGGAGGGAGCCGAGCCCTCGCCGGGGCTGGGGGAAGGCTCCGCGCCTCCTGCCCTGCCCTGCCCGGCCCTTCCCCGCCGCCGAAGAGGAAAACCCCGGAGCGAGGGGCGAGGGAAGGGGCTGCGGGGCCGGGCAGGGCGCTCCCCGCTGCGCTGCCGGCTTCCTGCCGCGCCCCGCCGGGCGGCCGGTGCGAGGCGGGCACGGCGCCGGCGCCGGCTCCGCTCCGCTGCCGCTCCGCTGCCGCTCCGTCCCGCCGCCTGTCAGGCCCCCTGCCCCCCTCCCGCCCCGCTGCCCGGCCCCCCCGGCCCGGCCCGGCCCGGCCCTGCCCTGCTTCCCTTCCCCTCCCCTCCCGCGGCCGCTCACCTGCCCGCAGCCGCCCCGAGGGTCGCGGAGCCTCGCCCCGCTCCTGCCGCCTCAGGAGCAGCCGGACCCGCCGCCGCCGCTCCCGCCCGCGGAGGAAGCGGCCACCATCTTCCCTTCTCCCCCGCAAACGCCTACAGGCGGCTCCAGGGCCCGCCCCGAAAGGAGGCGGTGGCGGCGGCGGCGGCCGGGACGGGGGGAGCGGGCACGGGGCTCGCCCGGAGCCGCTGCCGCGGACAGGGGGCGCCCGAGCCCCGAGCCCCTGGGCCCGGCCGCCGCCCGCACGGGCCTCGCAGGGCGAGGGACGCGGGGGCCCCCTCACAGCCGGCGGCCAGGTCAACCGGCCGGGCGCGGGGAGCTTGCGAGGGGGGTGCACAGGGTGCCAGGGTCCTCCCAGCCCGCAGCCGGCTTTCCTGACAGGATAAATCAGAATTGTCCCCCCTCAGAGAACAAGCCAAGGGCTGTGCTGTATGTAAAAGACGAGTCTTGTAAAGGCAGACTCCAGAGCATACCTCTGTTGGAAGTGTTTGGGCTGTATTTGAGCAAAGATGCAGCCTGCTAACTCTGATTTAAAGATGCAGAATAAAGATTTATATTCACATCCACCACAAAAGAGGGTAAATCACACAAGCTACAGAATCATGAATATTTCAGTAAGTTTTCTTGATTTCCTATTTACGAAACCTTGCAGGGTAGGAAGGCTCTTGAAGATTAGGACAAGCCTTAAAGTATGCAACAACATACCTGAACAGGCTTTGCATTCATTATACTGTCATCCATGCTGTTATTTCCCAACAGATACTAAAAATCTCAGAAAATACTCAAACTAGAACATTGTTGCTTGAATATTGGTGCTGAATACCGCAGATGTGCACTGACTACTTACACGCAGTGCACTTTTCTAGCTTCAACAGTTTTTTTGTGCTGACATTTCAATTATATTCTAAATAGTCCAAGAGGAGTAATACTGGAGTTTAAAAGCGTTCATTTCAGTTTTCTGTCTAAGGTTGTGTCTTTTGAGTTAAGGGCTAAGCCTTGTCTTGTAATGATTACTTTGCAACGTTGCAGTGCCAAATTTACTGCAAAATGCACTATGCTGAAGGAGGAGCAGGGATGTAATACTGTAAGACTTGCTCATCCATACAGTCTTGAAGAGACTTCAATCACTCTAAATGTGGAGTAATTTCACATCAGTAGTGTGGAAATAGAAATGTTGTTGTTGCAGAGTTACATGGTTTAGAGGAAAGGAATGCGGTATTGAGATATGCTTACAGTGATAAGAAAGCTTAGCAGGCGACCTTGTAAAATGCAGACAACCAGATTTCTTAGAGCAGTTAGGTGAAAATCAAGGTGTTAAACCAAGTCAGATGAGTGAAGAAACATTACCACTTCAAGCAGTGAAAATGTCAAAAGAAATTTGAAATTTAACAGGCCAGCAACTGAAGGCCATGCATTGTTTGTGAAGCATCAGGTAGATTGTGAATCATAGAATCATAGAATCATAGAATATCCTGAGTTGGAAGGGACCCTTAAGGATCATCAAGTCCAACTCTTGACACCGCACAGGTCTACCCAAAAGTTCAGACCATGTGACTAAGTGCACAGTCCAATCTCTTCTTAAATTCAGACAGGCTCGGTGCAGTGACCACTTCCTTGGGGAGCCTGTTCCAGTGTGCAACCACCCTCTCTGTGAAGAACCCCCTCCTGATGTCAAGCCTAAATTTCCCCTGCCTCAGCTTAACCCCGTTCCCGCGGGTCCTGTCGCTGGTGTTAATGGAGAAAAGGTCTCCTGCCTCTCGACACCCCCTTACGAGGAAGTTGTAGACTGCGATGAGGTCTCCCCTCAGCCTCCTCTTCTCCAGGCTGAACAGGCCCAGTGCCCTCAGCCGTTCCTCGTACGTCTTCCCCTCCAGGCCTTTCACCATCTTCTGGACATCACCTCCTCTGGACACTCTCCAACAGTTTCATGTCCTTTTTATAGTGTGGTGCCCAGAACTGCACACAGTACTCGAGGTGAGGCCGCACCAGCGCAGAGTAGAGCGGGACAATCACCTCCCTCGACCTACTAGCGATGCCGTGCTTGATGCACCCCAAGACACGGTTGGCCCTCCTGGCTGCCAGGGCACACTGCTGGCTCATATTCAACTTGCTGTCTACCACGACCCCCAGATCCCTCTCTTCTAGGCTGCTCTCCAGCGTCTCATCGCCCAGTCTGTACGTGCAGCCAGGGTTTCCCCGTCAGGGGAAAGGTGCAGGACCCGGCACTTGCTCTTATTGAACTTCATGTAGTTGGTGATCGCCCAGCTCTCCAACCTATCCTGATCCCTCTGCAAGGCCTTTCCACCCTCATTCGAGTCCACAACTCCTCCAAGTGAACCTGGATTACCCACTCAGTGGGGAAACAGGGGAGGGTCCTGTCATCAAAAGGTATATAAACTGTGTTTTGGAACTAGTAGGTGTGCTCTCCTGCTTGTGGGGCGCCTGCCATTGCAATTGTAAATAAATTACTACTTCACTGAGATCTTCGCCTGAGCCTAAGTTATTGGCTATGGAGTGTTTCTCACAATTTGGGGGCTCGTCCGGGATCCAGTCATCTACCGGGGAGCCCCACCCGCAGCAGCAGGAAGGCATGCCCCGCTGATTTCAGTGGTCCTGTGCATCAACGGTGGCGGTTCTGTGGAGAGCTGACAGAGGGTCCAAGACTCGTTAAAGAGGCAGGATACGTGAAGTAGTAGGAAAAGGAAGAAGGTAGGCACTCCAGGTTTTGAGAATTGATCTGGTAACTCTGTGCACAGACCAAGATAAGAAATATTAAGTATTGCCTTGGGGGGTCGGGTGAGACTCTGTGTGATGTGTGATTGAGATGTACTTTTTTACTAAGTGAGTGTGGAGTCCTGATCCACAGTTCCATGGCTCCACAAGGGGCACGGTTGGAGACAGACGAAGTGTGAGATAAGGGAGAGAAAGGAAGAGTCTCGGGAAATTTGTTGTATGGGAAGCCCTTGCATGGGGAAGTGCTTGGCCGTACACTCCCATTTTCCAGAACTGGAACGTTAGTTCCCTTCCTGAAGGAGGGAAATTTCTGTAGCAGCACACTGACAAGGGCTAGGAAAAATGGGACATATGAGTTCCAGGGGATAGGGAGATATCCCTGGGGGAGTGCCTACTAACAGTTCCTCCTGAAGAATGGTAAGAAATGGGAAAAATAATCTCAAAATTAGAGGAGATGATAAAATTAAAAAGAAAAAAAAAAAAGTTAAATATTGTGTACCAGTCCAGACAAAAGAACCAATTAAGAAAACAGCAGTATTTTGGCCAAGATACTTCCCCCCCTCCTTACCAGCAGAGAGGTTAGGAGTTTTAAGGAGATGAAGTCTTTAACTGAGGACCCCATCAGGCTAGCTGAACTATCCTAGGACCTAACTTATACTCTTGGGGGAAAATGATGTCTATACTAAGCATGTTGTTTACAGGGAAAGAAATGGGAATGATCAGGAGGAGAGCTGCTGTACAAAAATGAGAAAGAGCTCATCTTCCAGGGTCATACCAGCAGGGCAGAAATACCCACTTGCTGATCCTGGCTGGAATAATAATAGTGTGCAACACAGAAATCGTATGAGAGACTTGGGCTCAGAATGAGAAAGTAGTCGGGGATGAATCCTAAGGACCCAGTATCCCAAGGGCTCTTGAAAGTTAATTTTGTGATTAAAGCCTGGCAAGATACACAGAAAATGCTCCAGAAGGTGGGGGGATGTAGTGAACAGTCACTGGGGGCCCTGCTGCAGGAGGCCCTGAATGTGTGTGTCCGGAGGGGAGATGAGAAGGAAAAGCAGAGAGCGGAACTAATGGTATTGACAGTGTAGCAGGTAGTGAGGCAGAGGGTTGGAGAAAAATCTTCAGGGGGAATCAGAGCCAGGATGGAAAGGAGAGGAAGAGAGATGAAGGAATGGCAGGCAAGGAAGGCCTAACCAAAGGGTTACTGAAGGTGTTAAAGGTCCACACCTTTATGTAGTGTTTGAAGTTGAATGAGCAGGGAAAGAGGATGTAGGCATGATCTTAGTAACAGTCTAGAAGTTTTGCTATATTTGCTGTGGTGTTTGGTCAGTTTCCCAAGTATCGGGAAGGTGGGGGGGGGACAGCCTGCTCCACCAGGGGCCTCTCCAGAGGCCACAGGGGGGCTTCAGCTCCAGCGCCTGGAGCGCCTCCTCCCCCTCCTTCTGCACTGACCTTGGGATCTGTGAGGAGGTTTCTCTCCCAGCTGCTGTTGAGCAGCAGGTTTATGTTTGTTTGTTTGTGTGTCTTCGTGGATGTGCTCTCACAGAGGCCTCACAGAGGCTCGGACTGTGTTGTTCTGGGCAGCAGTGGGCCCCTTTGGGACCAGATGAAATTGTCCCTTACCTGCCACGGGGAGGCTTCTGGATTTTTCTCGTGGGGGATGCCACTGCAGCCACCCCAGAACCTTGCCACCAAACCCAAAACACTGGGGCAGCTAGGTCATTACTGGCCTGTAAAGTACCAGGGCTTAAATTAACTAACGAAACCCTAAAAAGTGATGGGGGTAGAAGGGGCTGGGATAACAGTGCCACTTTTGGGGGATACCAAGATGAGGCTAGGGGATAAAATGATCACTGGGCAATTATTGTATGTACCCAAGGCAGGGACTAACTTGTTGGGAAGGGATTTGATGGGCATTCAAATAGTAAATTGTTAGACTGGAATAACGCTATTATTAATGGGGTGTTCTCGAGCCCTGAGAGCAAACATATATTCACCTCTGACTGGAAAGAACCTGAAATGGGGGTGGAAGCAACAATACAGATGGACAGTTTTACCTCAGGGGTTTACAGGGCCATGGATTTATTTGGGCAAGTTCTAGAACAGATTTTGGAGCAATCCCAACCTCCCGAGGAGGCGTTACTGTTACAAATATGTAGAAGATCTTTTATTGTCAGGACAGGGGAAAAGAGTTGTGAAGGAAGCTACTAACAAGCTATTCAACTTTCTGGGAAAGCAGGGCTTGGGAGTATTGAAAAATAAATTACAATATGTAGAAAGAGAAGTCAGGTATTTAAGGCATCTAATATTTGAGGGAAAATGAAGAATAAATCCAGAGAGGATTCAGGGAAT